ACAATATATATTTCAATTATAAAATATAGAAAAATCATATCAGGTCAAATAAATAACTGAAATACTCTATATCCCAAATATATTTATTTGTTTCATTAAGTTTTATTTCACATTACATTATAGGACATTTATCTACACTTTAAAATACATAAAATACAATATATTTTTAATAACATTTAGGCTATATATTTTTATTTTAAAATATGTTTTTCCCTCATTCATTTTAAATACATATTAGCAATATTTTGGACATTTTTCTATACTTTAAAATACACAAATAATGGTATACATATAGATGAAGGCATCGTAAAAACGAATTAGCCTACACTCATTTTCTATAATTCATTCCTCATTCACTCTACTGCTCAATCCAGTTTTTACCAAAAATGACATTGAACAAAATGCCAAATGAATTTAAGACAATATGTTCTAACCACTGGTACCATATTTGATCTAATTCGTTTGTTCCTAGTTAAATAAATAAGTAAATCAATAAATAATACCAGTAGGACTTTTATTCTAGTTGGCAAAAAAAGCCCGTTTCCGTAACTAACTGAAAGTGTTGATTGTTGTCGCCGCCTTGCGGTCACATCAAGCATGATTTATTTGACGCTTAATTCACTTTCATTTTCATTCTTTGTGCTGACTAACTGTGACTTCTCGTCGTTTCGTCGATAACAACTGGATCCCGTCTTCTCCTTTCAACCAAAATCCCACGCTGTCCAGTGGGATAAGATATTAAACGCGTGTTTTTCTGCAAACAGCTTTAATAAAGTTTAGCAATTATTCTGCAACGATGACTTCCTTAGACATGAGCCCTGCGTCTAAGAAACAGGTAGGACGACTATTATAGGCCTGAAACCTGATTTAAACTTATTTATGGCTGTTTATTGGGCAGAAATTATGCATTTTGAGTCTAAACTGCTTATAAATATAAACGTATTCAACCTGTGTTTAAGTGGCAAGTTTGACAAACAGTTCCTATGTATTTTGCAGGTGGATGGATTCTCCAAACAAATCACCAAGGAGGTAATTATACATTCATTCAGTCGCGCTCTTTCATTACTTTTAAAAATGTACCACAGTCATTACAGTTTATGCCAATAATACCACAGTAAGTATAGTTACTACAGTAAAACTGTGCATTATACACGATTATAATTTAAAAAATAAAACAACACGACAGGACGATTCATACAGCAGCTTGAAGGAGAACCAATAATAATATGTTACTATTTTCCAGTAGTACCAATGACTGTAGTGAAAGTTCGTTAAACTGTCAAATGTTTGTTTTAAACAGGCCGAACAGTTGATCTCAAACTTCTTCCCTGAGAAGATAGCCGAGATGGACAACATCTTACAGGTATGAAGTCATTCATCATATGAAAACAGCAGGTGCATTCATTAACACTCATTGAGTAGAGATTGTGCTGCGGTTAAGAAATACTGTATTTCTGTTTTTGTGTTATTTAGAGTTCCTGTAGTCTGAAAGATCTGTCAGTTATCAGGGCTCCTCTGGACATCCCAATCCCAGACCCGGCCAAAGAGGAGCTCAAGAGGAAGAAGAAAGAGGAGGTAATCATAACACGTGCTTTATTATTAACAAGCATAATTGTTCACATTCATTTCTTTTTAAATTAATAGATTCTCTGTATTGTGGTTTGGTTTAAGTAATTGATTAGACTTTAAGGCCAGTAATGCCATTTTATTCACAGAAAGAGGCCAAAGAGGGAAAGAAGGGTGGAGATAAAGAAGAAGAGGATGAAGGTAAATGTTTAGAAGGAATTGGAAAATGAAACTGAAAATGTTACTTTTCTGGATCTCTTTTCCCTAGACCTGAATTCCCCCAAAAGTGTAATTCACAGCATGAACACAGGGGGGCACTGAGTCACTGTTAAAGTCATAGAAATGATACAGACCCTAAAGAAGATTTTGAAAAAGTATTGTGTGTCTCCATCCAGCTCTGTCCTTACAAACTGGTGACTGGTTACAAAGTGGTGATTTGAAGAGCACAAATGTAAACTAATGATGTTGATTGTGATCTGAAAGGTCCTCCCTGTGGTCCCATCGCCTGCAATGAGACAGTAGAGAAACTCATCAAACAGATCAAGCCTGAGATTCAGACTCTGAAGGAGTGTCTTAACACGGTGAGGAAGTGCTGGCGTATGCTAATTATGCAGATCTGAGGTTAAATTACATTTGTCGAAAAAGTTAAAAACGACATTTTTGACAAGTCATTGCTCAACTGGTTCTATAATAATTTAATTTATACTGTATGTTGGCATCAATACATTTAATAAAGCATTTTGGTACAACGACATTTTGTGTATATTGTATAATATTTGTGTTGCGCACCTGTGCAGGTGTCAATGTGGATACAGCTACAGATTCCCAGAATTGAAGATGGGAACAACTTTGGAGTTGCTGTACAGGTCAGTTAACGTATCTGGTGTCATGTTTACTTGTGACAGAATGAAATAACTTTTGTCAAATTAATCATTTTTAAGTTTAAGTTTAAATTAGAATTTATACATATTTATGCATTACATATATGTTGTTTAAAAGTCCCAACTAGGGATACTTAAAAAATATGAAACCTTCAAAAACAAAAACAAAATAGTTAATAGATTAACTTAACAAATGATTAATATGTAGTTTATCTCAATTACTTTATATCAAAATGATGTGCAATGTGTGCACGTATTATAAATTTGTGTGGATGACAATTGTAGCAAATATATATGCTACTTTTTGACTGTGTTTTTCACCCATGCACATGCATTGTTTTTACTTTAATAATATTAATTATAATGTTAAATTACATTACCATTCAAAAGTTTGGGGTTAGTCATTTTTTTTTCCAACAAGGACACACTACACTGATCAAAAGTGCCTAGGCAGTAAAAACATAACATTACAAAACTTGTTTTTTTTTTTAGAAAATCTTCATTGATTCAAAAAATATATCACCGTTTCCATGAAAATATTAAGCAGCACATCAATTTTCAACATTAGTAATAATAAGAAATGTTTCTTGAGCTCCAAAATCAGATTGTTGAATGATTTCTGCTGGATCATGTGACACTGAAAAGTGGAGTAATGAGCTTTGCATCACAGGAATACATTACATTTGAAAATATACTGAAATAGAAAACAGTTATTTTAAATTGTAAAAATATCTCACAATATTAGTATTTTGATCAAATAAATACAGCCTTGGTGAGCATTAGAGACTTCATTCAAAATTATTTTAAAAATCTCACTGTCCCCACATTTTTTGAACGGTGTTGTATATATAATTTAATAGTAGTAAGTTATATAAAAGCAAAAAATGTTCCAACAGGAAAAAGTTTTTGAACTGTTTACCAACACCCGCACCAAGATCGAGGGATTCCAGACACAGATTTCCAAGTAAGAGTCCAGACTGCATTACAAACAGTCAAACACAACCTCCTGATGTCTTCATTATGAACACATTCATAGTTATTTCCATCATTTTATTTGTTATTTTATTATTTTTTAATCATTTCATTTTTTTAGACATGAACACGCAGTTGTGACATGTTTCCGTTTCCTCAGGTACTACAGTGAGAGAGGAGATGCTGTAGCCAAGGCTTCCAAACAGCCACATGTGGTCAGTTTATTTGGTGTTCACTTTATCTGAATTAAACCGTTTACATGCTTACAAAACCTTTGAGCTTCTGATCATTTGATTGTTTTGTTGCTTGGCAACAGGGAGATTTCAGGCAGCTTGTCCATGAACTGGATCAGCACCAGTACTGTGAGTTACGCATCATAGTCCTGGAGATTCGCAACACTTATGTGAGTTCCGTCTCAACTTACCCTAAACAAAACATCTCAGTGCTGCAATTCTGATTTGAATGGATGCTGGTTGAGATGTGTCTGATTTCATCCATTCGTTCAACTCTAGGCCGTGCTGTATGATGTTATCACCAAGAATTTTAACAAGATTAAGAAGCCCAGAGGAGACTTATCTTCAAAGGCACTTATCTACTGAGTACAGCAGCTGATCTGCACTGAAAAGACACACAAACACACATTTGCTGAAAAGTAAAAACATGTCGTATTGAGTTTCAGATGCGCAGTCACAGTGCATTGACTCGAGCTTCAATTACATCAACAGAACCTACTGTAGTACGGCTTTTACTCAATAAAAAGTTGATCTAAATGTGGTATCACTCATGTTTTATTCAAAATGTCAAAACATTAGTTTTATTATCCTTAATAATTATTACAGTCGGACAAAAGAGGAAAATAACTACTTGATTTTTCATATATGCTACTACTCAAAATTGTCAGTACGATTTTAGATCAGAAATTAATTATTTTATTCAACAAGGATGCAACAAATTGATCAAATGTTAGACATTTATAATGTTACAAAAGATTTGCTGTTCTTTTGAACCTTCTATTCATCAAATAATCTTGAAAAAATGTATCATGGTTTCCACAAAAATATGAAGAAAAAACAATTAATGGATTAAATTAACAAATTAATATGTAATTTATCTTCCCTTTTAACAAAAGTTTGTAGCAGAATATGCAGAGACTGTTTTTCATGCACATTTATTTATTTATTTTACTTTAATAATGTTAATTATAATGTTAAATTACATTACCATTCAAAAGTTTGGGGTCAGTAAGATTTTTTTTTTTTTTAAGAAATTAATACTTTTATTTGGCAAGGACACACATCACTGATCAACAGAGGCGGGAAAGACATTTATAATGTTACAAAAAGTTGTAGTAATGGAGTAATGACTGCTGAAAATTCAGCTTTGCCATCACAGGAATAAATTAATATTTTAAAATATATTAAAATAGGAAACAGCTATTTTAAATTATATTATTTAGTATTATTTCACAATATTACTATTTTACAGTATTTTTGATCAAATAAATGTAGCCTTAGTGAGCATAAGAGGCTTCTTTCAAAAACGTAAATAATCCTGTCGACCCCAAACTCATGTATCTAATTAAAGGTATGCATATTTTTTTACTCTGAAACCCCCTTGACACAAAAGTTGTACATTTTATATATTCTGTTTCTCATTTCCTTAACATCCATGTCCCATATTGCATGTGCTATCCGAAAGCAAAGCTTTTGGTTTTCCAAGACAGCACCAGCCGGGCTTTAAAACACACCAGCCCTTATAATAAAGGCCCTTCCATCCCAGATACCCCAGAGCTCCTCCAACCAGCTGGGAAGGGAACAGTGGGAAGTGCGCCAGCAAGCAGAGGATCAGGAAGATCCAGAGACCCAACAATAACACACATAACAGGAAGATTATCCTCAGTGACGCCCCTACAGTTTTTCCTAGAGCCATGCAGGGCCCAAAAACTGCTATTTCTTCAGCAAGAATCAAACAACATAAACTCAGAATGAGGATGTCATCTGACACTTCACATCCCTGCCACTGTAGCCCGGCCTTGAGACAGGCTGCTTTACCCTTTTCCTCTCTCAGTAGTAATAAAGGGCCTGTATCAGAGTCCAGGAGCGCCCCGGGGTTCCTGTGGACTTCTGTGGGGCTTTGTAGTGGCTCAAAACAGCTTCCAGAGGCGTCCACTAGAAAGGACAGTAGACGGCGGAACAGTGTCCACAGCGTCCCGGCCACAAGAAGTCGAGAGAGGTGACAGACTGAGTGAATGAAAGAGTTACTGATGCAGTATGAGAGAAGAAAGATGAAAGAGCCACATAATACACAGGTCCAGCCCCAGCATGACTGCAGGAACAGCCTGTGAGATCACAACAACCACAATGAATGTCTCATAAAACAAACAAGACAAAAGAAAATACAAAAGGGTAAATAATCTAGAAGTACATTTATTATAATAACCCAAAATACATCAATAATAGTAATACACATTTAAATGCGCACAAACAAGAATGAAGTTCTTTAATTGTCTTAAGGTAATTCTCTTCATTACATAAATGATTTTTGAAGTTTAATAATCTTTCAAAACACTCCCAAAAATTAATTTACTTGATCAGTATTTTTGTGTGTGTATATATATATATATATATACACAAAGATATTAAGACTTACAAAAAATTCTTATTTTGTACTTAAAACAGGGAAGGTCTGGAAAATAAATGATTTTCAGCATTGCAACAAATATATGACTACATAAAAAATGTTATCTTCATAAAACTGAAATATTATACGCATTATTTTAAAAAATTAAGTTGAAAAGTTAAATTTGTTGACACTGAACTACTGTAACCATATTTAGTGTATAAGTATTAAGTATTAGTTTATTTTCTTTATATATTGAGTTTTACATTTCAAGTATAAATTAATATTACTTAATGTGTTATGAACAAACATGAATAAACAATGACTAATATTCATAAAATTAACATTAACCTAAATGAATAATAAAAACACGATTGTTTTTTATTAACATAATAATAAATTGAATCTTATTGCAGTGTGACTAATATTTAAAATAGTATGTATTTATATAATTAAAGAACTAATATATTGTTAGTGTATATATATGGAAAAAAAAAAATATATATATCTATGGAAATTAGAAGATCAGCTTCACACTCAAAAACCGTGACGAGGTAATTCTAAAGCTAACTAGAATAAGATCTTGCCTGTACAGGTAGTGATTCTTGTTGCCAAATATGCTGTACTTGGAGACCCAGAGACTCAGAGCAGGTCCAAACATCACCAGCACAGAGAGAAGGAAGTGAAAATGCTGTCTAAATAAGAAATGAGCCAGTAGTCCAGCTGTGAGATCAGTAAACTGCTCCAGAGCCCAGTGCAGAAGCTTGTTGACAGAGTTATGGATCTTATAAAGTATCTCCTTTAGTCCACAAAGATCCATCTTGGTTTGCTGAGGGCAGAACTTCCACTGCATGTTCAACAGATCGACTAACAGCACAAACTGAGACAAGGACAGAAATGAGATTGTTCTACCATCTGTCAGCAGGGTTATTAGCTTCCCTTTTGTTTTCACAGTAGAGTTCAACCTGCTGGTTTATATCACA